ACCTGTTTTATGATGCGTGCAAATATACCCCAAATGATGGGCAAGTCCTGACATTTAGGTGTCCGTGGTAAGGTCTTGTTGGGAGTCAAAACCAATTTTAGGAAACATGTTTCAATGCATGAAGTAACATACGTAGGAGTGAATCATTGGCAGGTGGTGTTTGTTTTTCTCTTACAACTTAAAAGTTCGCAAATGGAACTAGACCCCAACATAGACAATATTTTCTCAGGTATCACGTGGAAATTGTGCACAGAATGGTTTGTTTCCTTTTAAGATAAAGGTGGAAGGCTTTTGTGGTTGCACAATCCTGCCTTTTAAGGAGATGATTTTAGTAGCTTTTGAAGCACAGCTTGAAGAACATGCTTCAAAACCTGGGAAAACTCAATACCTAAAGCAGTCCACTTTATGGGCTGGACTCTTACTCAGCCTAACGCTAGCGATGTATAAGCAAACTGCGAGCAGGAGGCAAATGTAATTTGTGTCTCTTCTAAAATCCTTTTATACCCCCTCAACTGTATATAATGGCATTAATAGATGTGAGAATCAAGTTTGCAGTGTTTACAAATGATGGCCAAAGGAAAGCTGTGTTTGTATTTTTCCTGCCTGAACAGCTTTTCTGGCTTTCCTTTCTTTCTTTCATGGTTTTGAAGCACAACACAGAGATCACACGCTTTTGTTTCGTTGGTTTGAATGAGGCTGATGAGACAGCTCTCAGGTTGCTATTAAAATTAGAAGTGTGTGCAGGAGGCTGGAGTGGATCTTCATGATTGATCGGGTGCGTGCCATGAATGAGAAGGCCCTCCTGGTACATAAAATATTTGTCAATACATGGATTTATAGGAAGCAGCGTGTACCATGGTGTACATCTTGCAAAAGTTTTGTAGTTTAGGTTTGGTACGGACAAATTCCCGGAATATCATCCAAATTAACTGAACCTCTGGTATTTGGGGGAAGAAAACCATGCGAGCATTGAACTCAAAATCAAACGCCTCAGTGCTTCAAGTTTCTACCTGTGCTGGAAGTACTCAGAAGTTGATCTTCTTTCTATGTTTGTCCCCGTTTAACTGTCCTATTTCCAATGTTTCTAACTGATAGCATAGGACCTGATTTTGGGCTAGGTGAAGCCATTGTGAATTTTACTTGATTTCGATGATCGGTGAGTGGGAGAAACACACTTACTGGAATGCTGTGGTAGGGCTGCACGTTAAAAGGCAAACAGTGATGGCAATAGAATCATACAAGTATTCTGTGTAGTTAGAGAAGATCAATAAATGTCTGAATGAGTTGGTTATTCACAGTGGTTTGTTGGGTTTCTTTCATCTGGTTTGAAGTGTGACAGGTTGGTATTAGTCTTTTCCAAGGATCACATACATACACTCCTGAAAAATGTGCCCCTGTATGTAGCATTGGCAAGTGCAGCTCCTTATAAATGTTCTGCTTTTGTCTATAGGAAGCAGCAGCTACAAATGGTTTCGGAGTAATCGGGGCATTGGCATCCCACAATATTTGTCTACTGTAAAAACATATCACTGGAGATGGAAGTGAGAAAGATGAGTGGTGAAATGTAGGATGCTACTCTGTTCCAAATGGTGGTTTACTGACCTTGAACTTTATCCACTGCCTCAGCCTCTCCCCCATGAAGGGATTTATATTTATATAAATAAATATAAATGTAAGTATATAGAGATATTTCTATTCATCCCCTAGAAAGACCACATCTCCCTTCTCTGTGGGCTTAAATCTTCCTTTGTGCTACCTGTGAAAGACTTAGACCTTTTTTCGTGTAACTTACTTGAACTTGGATGTGCGGGCTGTGAATTCGGTAAAACCGTAGCTGGTAAGAGTCGGCTCTCAAAGCATTTCCAGTAGCCGTCCTCTCACCTGCTAACACTCCTCGGACCACTGGCCTTAAGCACGCCGCTCCCACTGCCTTCTCCAGCATCAGTACTGGAAGGAGCGTGACATCTGACCTCACTCCCAAGTGCAGAGGCCATGTTTTTGAGACGTATCTGAACTTCAGGAGAAAATATGTATCGCTTGTTCTCTGGGGTGAGTCATGCAGCTAAGGCTTTCTGAATCCATTGGTTGTGTCTCTCTTGCACATAGCTATGGAACATGTTCTCGTATGCATTTCCTGACCAGCAAAGTATGGGGTTCATCTCCAGCCAAGAGAGATGAGTTCCCTGCGGGACTCTCAAAAGCATCGGTACCACCGGTTGTTTGCTGTGGGGATGTATGGGCTTTTATGGGCCAAATTTATGGCTGAAGCTATGAGGCACAACTCCATGGCTTTTAGTGAACTTGCACCTCTGCATGCCAGTGCTGAGGGCAGCGTTGTTGCTGGTATTTACTCCACTGAAACTGTGAGAATTCCTCAGTCCTTCATGCAACCCCACTTCTGTGTGCCTCTAGCGACTGACGAGAAAAGTGGGAAAAGGAACTCCGTGTTGCTAGATGGTCGTTTTAGGTCTCTTCCAACTGAACTGTTCCATTCTGTTCTGTTCTACTTTGCTCTAAATTGTAGTAATTGTAAGTCAGTTTACCCCAGTTGTCAATAGGGTCAGTTGTTAGGCCCGAAAGCTATATGTAAGCATAGCTTTCAAACCCCGTCTTAAATTAAAGCTTTTTCGCCTTTTGCTATGTAAGTTCCTGAAAACTCAAAGAATTTGTTGTGTTAGAGACAAATCGTAAGAGTACTGAAGAGACTTTTAGGAGATTTTCCTGTTTGTGAGTTTTATGGTATTTTTATTCTGTCTTTCAGTTACTTTTTAATCAGGAGCTTTATCGTTTTGGGAGGAAAGAGTGCAAATTTTTGCAAGTCTGTTGTATAAAAAGGTGTGACAATTAAAGAGTTTAGAATAACTTAAGAAAATTCAAGCTGATTCATAGTTTAATGAATGAATGCTTATAGGTGGTTAGAAGTGAATCAGGGATGAGGAAAGAAGGGAAACGGTGTTGAGAGATGAGGAGGATCAAAGGCCTTTGGTTTTGAGGAGTAGTCCTCAAAAGCGTACCTTTAACACAGAACGTTTTTGTTTAGGTATTCCGGTTGCTTTCTTAGAGTTCGTGAAGCAGTTTTGATGGTAGTATCTCTGCTCGCCTGTAATTCCGTGTTGCTTTATAGCTGATAATGTGTGAACATTATTTTAGGAGATAAATTTTATAAGCGGAAGAGCCTTGAAAGGTAGCTGTCTGTTTAATGATGCAAATAATATCCGCCAGCTTTTTAAAACGATTGGGTCATACTGCGCAAGTCAAGGCATTCATTTAAAATTAGCTTTTCTGACGGACGGTGAATCCCCTTTCCAGATGACTGACGTGCACCTCGTCTTGTATTTAAACGTACATGCAGCGTACAGTTGCCTTGCTGTGTGCTGGGGACAACCTTATTTTTCTCATGGCCTCGTATCTGCCCTTACCTGGCTCTCCAGACATATAAACCAGTTGTTCAAAACGTAAGGTGCTGGGGATAGGGAGGAGACATGTATTTCAAGATGGTCAGATGTAGTACAGGAGATTCTTCTGACTCTTCCTATCAACAACGTTGATGGTACAGAATTGCAAAATGAGCAACACATGTTTTGATGGAATTAAATGTGAAATTGGAAAAGGAAACATGTCTCAAGTATAACAGAGGCTTGCCAGATAAACCATTACACCCTAGAAATCTGCTGCTGTTAAAATAATAAATGTTTTTTGAAAGAGTTCCATGTGGTATTGTTTCCATTTCCCCCACATTCAAAAAACAAATATCACTTGATTTCAGTTGAGTAAAAACAAATGTGTACAGCTAACAAATACTGTTATACTTCACCTACCTGATAACCTCTACGCTCAGTGTTAGATTTTCTTATGTGGATCCTGGGATGCAAGAACCCTTCTGTCTTGCAAGTCCACACTCATCCTACCAGTTCTTTTTGCTTTTTGTGTTACGGTAGTGTGTGAAAAAGAATTGCCTTCCACCAACCTATTCTCTGTTCAGTTGGAAGATAAAGCAAATAAAAGGTAAAGGAACAGAGGAGTAGAGAGTAAATGGGAAACGGGGCTTCCCAGCAACAAGCGGTTATAGAAAGCCATCCCATTGGCGCCTTTGTCCGTGACGTGCATCTCAACCCTAAGGCAGAAAGTAATCTCTCGCAGCCGGAACCGCTGCTGAATGTGTCGCTGTCCTCCAGGTGCCTCTGCACCACCTTCAAATCAGCGCTGACAAAAGGAGGTGCAGCAGCTGGACGGGTAATCGGTTCTCCTACTTGTAGCCACCCTGCTTTAGTCAGCTTTATTTCTGGATACAGCTTTTGTTTTCTGTTTGTTCGCTTGTATTTACATTACCAGATTTTTGCTCTAGAACTCATTAGCTGTTAGGAATGAAACAGTACAGGGGTTGTCTTGCAAGAGAGAGGGCTGGCCATGTCTGCTCTGTTCTCTGGTCACAGCACAGAATAGAGAGGTGTACGGTAAGCAGTTTCCGGTCTGTCGTCTTTCTGAAAAGCTAAATATCTGCTGTGAATATTAAATTGAGTAAGTTTTGCTTTGGCTGTAGAGGTGCATCCCAAATAAAATAACGTTTTTCAACCTTCCTACTTTGGTCCAGTAATTGGTGCGTGGACAGTAGCGTTGTAGAATAGCCAAACAAAACCATCCTTGCTTAAAAATAGGTGTCCGACGGCATTAGACTGCTTTAGGATTGTGTGCGTGGGGCGGGCGGATACGGCCCAGGACCTGTGGGAAAACCCTTTCAAAGTGGCAGCAGGAGACATGGGGAATACACGAGGGCATGTTGTGTGACACTGCATTTGTATTTATTTTTACTGCAATGCTGCCAAGCTTGTGTTAAGAATATGCTGTAATAAGCCATAATTTAAGCGTCTTAATTTCTAACAGAAGCCTGGCCCAGGTGAAGTTGAAAATGTTCCTATACTCTCTAAACGCATTTTTTATGGAACTCTGTGCACGTATGTGTGTTTCTGTTCTTCATTTGTGGCCACCTTTGTGTTTTCCAGTCCATCATCTTCATTCGTGACCGAAATTCTCGTCGCCAGGAGGTGTCCGCATACATCGACTATGCCCACAGACTGACAACAGATGATTTTGAAGCCTACTTCAGTGGGAAGAAAAGACTTTTCCCTCGGAGCACTGATCTGAGGTTTTTACCTTGACTTTTCATTTATTTGTATTTAGGCAATATACAGAGAAAGATTTAAATGGTTGTGAGTAGGAAAATAGCTTATGAAAGCATTTTTCACTGAAAAGCAAACACCGTGATCAGAACTAGTTGTGGAGAATGCTTTTAAGAAGGGTCCCTGTCAAATTTACTTAGTGCAAAACATAAAACTTAAGCAGGACGTTACAACTGTCGCCTGTCTCTGCATCTCTTGTTACCCTGAGGAGTCCGTAAATCGCGATGTGCTTCGATCACGCATGATCGCTTCTGGAGCGATGCTCTCTAGAGCACGCTTCTGGAGATGGCACAGGCCACATAGCTGTAGTGAGCGATTGCCAGAACATCTCCAGCTTTGCCTGCTCTATCCACAGAGTCCATGGGAGGATGCTTTGCTTTGAAATTGGGCCGCCTGCAGGGGTCTTCCAGTGGCAAATAAGATGGTGTGCTACCTGTGATTAATGAGAAGCATCATCGATGAGCTTTCTCACTGAAGAATGTGTTTTCCTTAATGTACATCCTGGGCACGAGAGCCCGGAGATAGACGTATGAGAGATGTTTGTGCACTTCTCTTGGTGGAGGCCAAGTTGAAAAGGCTTGGTGCAGCAAAGCTTGCAGTCTGACTGAGGCCTGGGACCGTGCTTAGCACTGAAGCAGTATGTGATCCAGCAGGCAGGTGCTGTTGGACACAGGGGAAGAGATGGTAAAACTTTCAGTGGAGTGGTGTTGTGAATCATGATGAGAGTCTTCTCTTCCCACGTGTTAGAAGGTAAGAACTGTCGACAACTAGCTGCAATGTCATGCGCAGTTACTGTCTCCTGGTGAAAAGGTGTCCAGTGCAAAGGAGTTTAATGCATTTTCTCGATTTTCTGAGAGTGGCTTTCTGTAACACAAATGGATGCAAATACTGTTCAGTCAAACTCTGGTATGTGTCATGGAGCGAGAAAGCAGGAAAGAGTGTTGGAGGGGACAAGTGGGCCGGTGAAGGTTTTGTGTTATTCGTTCACGGGACAGCAGATGTCAGTAATAAGGCAGAGATACTGAAATCTCTCAGCACTACCTGAGAATGGGAAGCAAAAATCCTGATTTTTTCGCTTTTAAATCACAGGGATGAACAGACAGTTGCTGTTTATGACTGAATTAAGAACAGGAGTGAACATAATATTGCGTCTGCTTTGCATATTACGTTCTTTCTACTATTAGGATTTTGTTAGTGACTCATAAATAAGCCTTTTTAAATCATTGTTGTCATATCCAATAAGAAATGTCACTGTTGTATCCAGTAGGTGTCCTTAGTCCTGGTTATTCTGAGTTGAAAAAGTCTCATTTACTATACGCTTACCCTCTTTTTCACCTCCCTTCTGTCAGAACCAGGGTACACTGCAAACTTCATGCATGGCTCACTATGTTCGTTCTTTCTAGTGGCAGAATATAGCTTCAGGTGGTATTTTATTTAACCTGTGTGTTAAAAAACAAAAAGGGTGGCGTGGGGGGTAGACTGTTACTTATATATGGCATTTTATAATTAGAATGTAACCCATGCAAAACTGCATTTGAACTTTCCAGCTGAACATAAAGGGAAGTTAAGGTAAAGCATTAAAGCATATGCAGTGCCAGTAAGGCTAGTTTGTTTTATTTATATATATGTGTGTGAATGTATGCACTATAGTTAATGAGGTTCATATACAGATATATAAATATATATCTAATTATACCTATATATCTTGAAGTTTTCACGTGCTGTACATTGACTAAAGAAAAAGCCTTCACTTTATGTTAAATGGTGCGGTTCTTGATGTGTCGTGTATACAAACTGCTTTTTCCTAGAAGCCCCATCTCTGCACAGAAAATCTCTCATGACATTTATGTATGCTGTGGTCCACTGGAATTGTCGGGCACCCCATTTTGCATCAGTTAGGTGTTTTCAGAGTGGCGCATTTCATTCGCGCTGTCTCTCGTGGTTATCATTGAGAATGCCGTTGGACAGATAGAGGACAGGCATGAAGCAGCCCAGGAAGAAAGACTTGGCTAGTACTGTACTGATTTTAAGATTCCCGTTGGCAGAGAACTTACCATGTCCCCTGAAAACCTTTTCATTGGGTAGATAAAAACATCCTGTTTCTTGGTTGGAGTCTTAAATTTGAACTTCACCTGCTGGATCCTGTATTCGTAGTTGCATGCCAGGTTAAATACAGCTTTAGGATTAGACAAGTTGTAATTACATAGCCTGTCATCAAAACGTGTCTTCAGCCATTCTTCAGTAGTCTAAAAAGAATTTTCTTACAGGTGATTGTACATTTAACAGTCATTCTTCATCTTGGCAGCATTGTTCCTCTGCCTCTTTGTTTTCTACCCAGCTTCTTCATAATGTGTCAAGAATGCTGTTTGTGAATGGGGACAATTTGACTGTATGTGTAATTTTGTGCCCTCAGCTTTGAATCTCTTGTCGAGCTCCGAATCTAAGTCTTTTCACCACGTTTTTCTTCTCTGGATACTTACACGTTTAGGCAGGTATAAAAATGTCCGACTATAGATGGCATAGCTACTTCTCGGGCTGGAAGACTGGCTATTTTTGTCAAAAGCAGTTGTTCCTAAAAGTTGTCATATCAGTTTAAGTTGTTCCAAAATGCTGCCTTCTTTAAGAACAAGTCAGTTTGGGAAACTGCCTCACTCAGAGCTTTACAAAGCCCTTACTCTTGGTTGTATTTACTCTTAGTTTCTTGGGAGATTGTAAGCCTTGGATTTTGCAGGAGAGGTTGGTATCTTGTGCAGAGCTATCAAATTATCTTTTAAATATGGAAATCCATACTTTGCTGCAACACATTTTTTCCTTAGCTGTCTGAGGCTGTCAGAAGATACTAAACTTGGTCTTAAGTACCCTCTGAATCAGATTCTTGTTCACAATGCAAAGTAAAAGTAATGAACAATTAATTTTTTGTGATATTCATACTTTAAGTCCGGTGGGTAATATCAGAGGCTCTTGTATTTGATCTACGCGGTTCCTCTGAGTTTATTTGCCATTTTATTGCATTGCCCTATCGAGGGAGTATTATTTATATGATATAATCCTCATTTGGTTCCAGTTTATTAAATGAAAGGAATGTGTTAGACAGTCAGTTCTTAAGAGGTCTGGAATCTGGACTGTAATTGAATCCATACCCTCTCAGCTAATTTATGTAATCTGATGAGAAACAAGTGTAATACAATTTGTTCAAAGAAAATGGAGAATGTTCACTCAATGGAACCATACCAAAAAAGTTCTGTGAATGAAGCAGCACAGCAAAAGGCGAAGTTTGGGCTGCCTTCTGTCTGATCAGCCGCACTTTGAGCACCTCTCCTAATGAAGGAGGATGAAATGAACGTCTTGCAGTAGTATTGTGCTATTTCAATTCTGTGTGTACTCCTGCCCTGGGTTTTCATTAGTTTTCTGTAGCAGCATGCTAGATATGGCATATTTGATATTGTATACTGTAGCATTTTATCCTCACGCTTGGCTTGCGGTTGCAGTGTTTTCATTTCTTCTTACTAGCGAGCACATTCTTTTCTAAAACAGAGCCAGGTAAGGAGCCATTTACTGTAGAACACGGGTCCTAGATTTTCCCCTGAACTAATTAAAGGTCTGAAGTCACTTACTTATCGCATCAGCAGTGAAACTCGTTTGGTTTTGGCCCCGGCACGCATCAGTCTGAGCATGGGAGGTCCGGCATTCAGGGCTTTGTGGTGATGCACCTCGTCCGCGATAGAAGTGCCTCATGACACACGGGTGCTTTCAGACATGGCGTGTTGTTCTTTGTTATTGGCAAGAACCATCCCATCAGATTCTGCCCCTTCTCCTCTAGTAGTTCAGCTGTGGTCTGTTGTGGCTGCAAGTGGGCGCAGCATTTGGCAGTCATTCATTAACTGGGGTTGGAATTCCCTCCCATTTTATTGTCAGGTATATTCTAAGATACCATCTGTTAATCTGCAAAGACCTGTAGGCCAAATCATGGCCAGCGGCACGTTCCCAAGCATGGGGCAAGAGGCAACTTCTCCCTTCCCTGCCGTACCCCATACCCTGCAGATTTGAGAGCAATTGACAGAAGAGCGCGGCTCCTACCCTGCCTACCCAGGCAAGAGCTGAGAGGGAATAAGTTGTGTTTTCACGCTTTGCGGCACGGGCGGTGCCGCTGTGCCAAGCGGAAGATGTGCAGAGAACTTCTCCTCCCTCGAAGAGCAGGCGGCAGGAGCCGAACTGAACTCCAGCTGCGCCCCAGCTGTGCCCCGGGAGCAGCGAGGCAGCAGTGACCCACATGCAGCGGTTGTGGTTAATCCCAGAATCCAGCCCGAAGCCTCTGGAAACTGTTTTTCCCTAGCCAGGGCATGCTCTGTGACTGCCTGTAAATTAATTGATTACAGCAGCTAGAGGTAGGAGCAGGTCACCTATAACAGGCAGCGTGAGCCTGTACTTGGTGACACCTGTTACTGTGGACCTGCTTTCAGGGAGCAGGATGCTGAATGGGTGTCGGAGGAAAACAGGCTGTGTTTGTTTTGGTGTTTTCTGTTTTGTTGATTGGGAGGGAGTTTTTTGCAAACACAATAGGAGGTTGACCGTGTGTTGAAAGTTCCACATTTAGCCCTTTCTGCCGTCGCCCTGGTGGTGTGTTTACTTCAGTTGGCTCTGAAAGGGAAACCCTTCGGTAGCTCGCTCTTGGTGTACATCTGCAGACCCCATTCGTCATCCGTTTGGCGTGTCACTCACCAGCTACCCCATCTAACGCGAGAGAAGTCAGCTTCTCGGTAGCGTTGAATGCCTGCAGATCAGAAGCTTATTAGCGTCTCTACCGATTGGATGCTTATGGATGTAGACCACAAGTTAAGTGCAAGCTTCATTTCAGGAAAAAGGTAAAAACTTCTGAGTTTGCAAAATGTGCAATCTCTTGTCTTGGAGAGGATTAGACAGACTCCACCCCCTAATTTGCAGGGATTGCCATACTGCTAGTAATACT